ATCTTTCTCTGACTGGCTTATTTCGCTTAGCATAATGCTCTCCAGTTCCATCCATGCTGTTGCAAATGGTAAGAATTCCTTCTTTTTTACCACAGCATAGTATTCCATTGTGTAGATGTACCACAGTTTCCTAATCCACTCATCTACTGATGGGCACTTAGGCTGTTTTCAAATCTTAGCTATGGTGAATTGAGCTGCTATGAACATAGGGGTGCATATATCCTTTCTGATTTGTGTTTCTGGTTTCTTGGGATACATTCCTAGAAGTGGGATCACTGGGTCAAATGGGAGTTCCATTTTTAATTTTTTTGAGGAAACGCCATACTGTTCTCCACAATGGCTGCACCAGTCTGTCTTTTCTTATTTTTAAAAATTGAGGTGCAATTGACATGCAACATCATAGTATTTTCAGGTGTACAACCAAATGATGTGATATTTGTAAAAATTGCAAAATGATCACCACAATAAGTCTAGTGAACATCTGTCACCATATATAGAGTTACACAATTTTTTTCTTGTGATGAGAACTTCTAACATTTTCTCTCTTAGCAACTTTCAGATATGTAATACAGTATTATTAACTGTAGTTACTGTTACATTCCCAGGGCTGGGGATTTATTTACTTTGTAACTGGAACTTTGTACCTGTTGACCCCTTACCCATTTCACCACACCACCCCACGACCCCACCCACTCGGCCTCCTCTGGCAACCACAGTCTGTTCTCTGTATCTATGAGCTTAGGTTTTTGTTGTTTCCTTTTTTTTTATTATTAAAGATTTCACATAGAGGTGAGATTATATGATAGTTTCTTTCTCTGTCTGATTTATTTAACTTAGCATAATACCCTTATGGTATAGCCATGTTGTCGCAAATGGCATGATTTTTTTTATGGACAAATAATATTCTATTGTGTATGTATGTGTGTATTCATACACACACACACACACACACACACACACACACACACTTAAATCACATTTTCACTATCCATTCATCCCTCAATGGACACAGATGGTTGTTTCAATATTTTCACCACTGGCCTTTCTTTCCTCAGCAATAGAAACGAAGGTCACAAAGGTGTTTTTTTAAAATATATATTTCTTTATTGATTTAAGAGAGGAAGGGAGAGGGAGGAAGAGATAGAAACATCAATGATGAGAGAGAATCATTGATTGGCTGACTTCTGCACGGCTCCTACTGGGGATTAAGCCCGCAACCCAGGCATGTGCCCTTGGCCGGAATCGAACCCGGGACCTTTCAGTCCGCAGGCTGATGCTCTATCCACTGAGCCAAACCGGCTAGGGCCACAAGGGTTTTTTATGTCCTTCCCTGATCCCTCCCAACAAACACTCCTTTAAATTCCCGAGACAACTCTTGATTGCCAGTTTCAGCAACTTTCCCCTTTAGTCAAATTTTCTCTTTGTTTTTCCAGTCTGTTAGCCTCAACATTGTAAATGCCTTTTGTTCACATTTTGTTTTCAACCTGGAAAAATACTTCCTCCCATCCAATCCATATCGCACACACTAAGGTCACTATCAGTGCTGAAAGGTTGTTGGTGTTACCTTTTCATGCACTTTAATTGAACCGCCTTTAAACATTCTTGTTTTGGATTGTGTTCCCTGAGAACCTTTAATCTAGTCTTTCCAGCCCCCTTGTTTAATTCGAGTTGTCATTCTCTATGTGCTTCCTTTTAGCATGTCCTGTTTCTTATTAAGCGTCATTGCAATGTTTTTGCTTTTAATGCGGCTTTCGCAGAGTAATGAGCATTGTCTTTTGGTTTGGAAGGGGGAAGGTAGTAATCTTACATTTATGGACAAAAGTGTGTAGCTTTGGGCCTGGCCGTGAGGCTCAGTTGGTTGGAGTGTTGACCTGTGCACCAAAAGGTTGCGGGTTCGATTTCCAGTCAGAACATACCTAGGTTTCGGGTTTGATCCCCAGTCGGGGTGCGTATGGGCGGTAACTAGTCAATGTTTCTCTCTCACATCAATGTTTCTCTCTCTCTCTTTCTCCCTTCCTCTGTCTCTAAAATAAATAAAAACATATCCTCAGGTGAGGATTAAAAAAGCATGTAACTTTGGAACCCTGTTTGAACAATTTGAGAGTAAAAACAAACATGTTTTCTTCCCTAAGCCCAGAGGCTCTGCCATGCAGAGTTTAGGAAGCGTGACTGTGGCTCTGGAGTATTTGCACTGGAAGGGCAAAATTTATTTTCTTTATTATTATTATTTTTTAAATCTTCACCCAAGGATTGAGAATATATTTTTTCCCCCATTGATTTTTAGAGAGAGTGGAAGGGAGGGGAGTGGAGATAGATAGATAAGAGAGAGAGAGAGAGATATCGATGTGAGAGAGACACATTGATTAGTTGCCTCCTACATGCACCCTGACCGGGGGCAGGGATTGAACCTGCAACCCAGTTACGTGCCCTTGACATGGAATCAAACCCATGGCCCTCCAGTGTGCAGGCTGACGCTCCAACCACTAAGCCAGACTGGCCAGGGCCATACTTAATTTTCATATGAACAAGTGTGTAATTGGAATGTGGAGTGGCCTGGGGATCTAGGTTTTGCTGCAAAGGCACTTGGGCTGCTCTGGAAAGGAGAAGCCACAGATTGTCCGGGGCATCTCAGGAAACAACTGGAAGGTCAGGATGGTGAGCTGATAGCATTATAGCTGACTCAACCCAGTGAATGGCAACTGTAAGCATGGGTGGAGAGAGAGAGGGAGGGAGAAAGAGAGAGAGTGAGAGGGAAGGAGGGAGGGAGGGAGAGAGAGAGAGAGAGAGAGAGAGAGAGGGAGAGAGACTGTTTTATTCACTTTTGTACCACTGGCACTCATTCAGTTAATTAACCAACAAAAGAGAGCAAGATTCCTACCATGGTGATGATCTTCTGGCATGAAGTGGGAGTGAGGGAGAAAGACAGAAATAAAAAGCAATAAAGAAGTAAATTATAGAGGGAAGGTGGGAAGGGTCGGTGGGTGGGAAGAGATTAACCAAAGAATTTACATGCATGGACACAGACAATAGTGTGGTGAAGGCCTGGGGCAGAGGACAGATATGGGCTAGAAGGGGTCAATGGGGGGAAAAGGGGACATATGTAATACTTTCAACAATAAAGATGAAAAAAAAGTTATAGTATGTTAGTAGATAACAGGCTATGAAACAAGCCAGCAGAGAGCAGATGAGGGATATGGGAAGATTGCAATTTAAATGGCAATTTTAATATAGAGGTCAGGCTAGGTGACATTTCAATGATATGTGAGCAAAGACCTGAAGTATGGGTAGATTGGCACCTAGAACAATGCCTGGCTCAGAAAATACACTGAGTGGCCAGATTATTATGACCACCCCATCCGTACTTCATTGACACTTCCAAAAATACTGAATATTGAAAACTTCCTAAGCAAATACTCTCAAGGTTTTATTATTATTATTATTTGCATAACTAACTCACATCATTGTACTGATGGGGTGGTCATAATAATCTGGCCACTCAGTGTAGTTGTTGAACAAATCAGTAAGTAAACTCCGTCTCTCCTTCCATGCACTTCCTGTGTTCTTCAGGTGGCCTTGAGATGGGGTGTGGATCCTGCTGTCCCCCAGCGAGACAGCGATGTCTGATTATCTCTCCACACCAAACACTCCCAGTTACAAATTCCCATGCACCTCAACTCCTAGTTGTAAGCCAGCAGTTCCATCAGGTGTTCAGTGGAGACTTAGTGATGTGTTTCGAAGCCAGAGGAAAAATTTGCCTCACTGAATTTCCTGAGACGTGCATTTATACGGCATCATTATGTCTAACTGGTACCTTCTCAAGGTATGTGGAAGCAAACCCTGCAAAAGACATGTCTGTCTATTGAGCTGAATGCTGCATATGTTAGGTGACGCGGGTGGGGGGAGGATTGTGGGGATCTGCAGAATTGGGGTAGAAAAGCCAAGGTCCCCCAGTTGCAACTTTTTCCTGGGGCCGGTCCTGCGGGAGAGAGCTCGTAATGAGCATTCTTCCTGGCTCTGAAATTATTTAATTTCACGGTGAGTTTACGCCTCGCGTTTAAAGGCTGGGGGCACAGTGAAAGCGGATCATTTGTCTGGGCTCCTCCGGAGTGAGGACACTGAAGCCAATAAACAGTTTCATGCTGCCAGAGGCCCATGCTCTCATGCTCAACGCTAGATCCAAATGGACTGAGTGTGGAGGACTTGGACTTGATTAAATAGTTTATTCATTTATTTGAAAAATATATTTGAACACTGTGTTTGAGCTTCCCAGGTGGCTGCCAGAGAGCCTGGCCTCCTGCTATTGATGTTGTCGTGTGGCAGCTCCCTCTACAATCGCCGGGCTGCCTGGGTGGCCAACAGGACGGCGTGGGAGTGACAGGATGTGACCCCTGAGGCCAGGACATGAAGCACATGGTAGCTGTCATCTTGCTTTCCTGAGGCACTAGCCTTGGGAGAAGCCACCCTGTCCTAAGCAGCCCTGTGGAGAGGTCAGAGTGGCGAGAACTGAGGCCACTGGTCAACAGCCAGCACCAGCTTGGCCACTGGGAGAGTGGGCCCTTTTGGAAGTGAATCTTCCAGGCCCAGGCAAGCCTTCAGGTGACTGCAGCCTAGGCTGACCCCTGGGCTGACGCCTGGGTTGACACCTGGGCCGACGCCTAGATTGCGACCTCACAGGAAGACTCCAATCCAGAACCATCCAGGTAAGCTGCTCTCAAATTCCTTACCCACCCAAACGATGAGATAAATGTTTATAGTTGACCTGCTTTTACTCACCACACTCCTGACACCAACAGTCCATTTTCTGATTCTCTGGGTACCATCTTGGTGTTGAACAATTTGATTCCATTCTCACACTAGCTACCTGGAGTTAGTGTAGACCCCACAGGTCAGCCCCACAAGACTGCCTGCATTTCAAATGCCAGTCATACGTTCTGACCAATTGGCTAGAAATCAGAGATTTCCACCCACCCTCTTCAGGTTGGATCATTTGCGAGATGGCTCACTTTACTTATGTTTACCCTGTTTGTTATAGAGAATTCAGCTCAGGGACAGCCAAAGGGAAGAGGTGCATAGGGGAGGGTGTGGAGGTGATGGGGACATGCGGAGCCTCCAGGTCCCCTTGGGGACACCATCCTCCCAGCACCTTGATGTGTTCACTAACCCAGAAGCGTTCTGAACCCTGCTGCTTAGGGGTTTATGGAGGGTCATTACATAGACATGATCGATTAAATCAATGCCATTAGTGACTGAACTCAACCTTCAGCTCCTCGCCCCTCTACCCTCCCCGGGGTACGAGGTAGGGATTGAATGAGGGCTGTAGGTGGGAGAGTCTGAAATTTCCAATCCTCTAAACATGCCTTGGTCTTTCTGGTGACCAGTCCCCATCCTGAAGCCAGCTAGGGGTCCCCAGCCACCAGCCATCTCATCCTATATAATAAAGCCTAATATGTTAAGTGTCTGGTCAGCCAGTAGGCCATTCAATCAATCAAAGGGTAATATGCTAATGATATGCAAAGGCTGCTCAACCGCTCGCTATGACATGCACTGACCACCAGGGGGCAGATGCTCCAACCGGTAGGTTAGCTTGCTGCTAGGGTCTGGTCCATCAGGATTGAGTGAGATGGGCCAGACATGCCCTGGAGCCCTCCCGCAGTCCCTCCCCAGTTGGCCAACCTCCTGTATCTCTCCCTGGCCCTGATCATAAACCAGTGGGGACCCTTGGCCTGGCCTGCACCCTCTCGCAATACGGGACCCCTCGGGGGATGTCGGAGAGCCGGTTTCAGCCCAATGGCGGAATGACCAGTAGCTATGATGCGCACTGACCACCAGGGCGCAGAAGCTTAATGCAGGAGCTACCCCCTGGTGGCGAGCGCAGAGGTGATGGTGGGAGTCTTTCCTGCCTTCGTGGCAGTGCTAAGGATGTCTGACTGCTGGCTTAGGCCCGCTCCCCAGGGAATGGGCCTAAGCTGTCAGTCAGACATCCCCCCAAGGGCTCCCAAACTGTGAGAGGGCACAGGCTGGGCTGAGGGTCCCCCTTCCCCTCTAGTGCATGAATATCATTAGCATATAAAAGACATTCTGATCTCTCCAGAGATTCCAAGGGTTTTAGGTGCTATGTGCCAGGAACTGGGGACAAAGACTAAACATATGTATTTCCTATTATATCACAATTGTTTTAAGCCAAAATAAACTCTGAGGTAGTGTTTTACTCAGTAATTGATAACGAATCCACATGTTGGTACCTGGAAGAGGGGAGCCACCATGATAAAATAATGAGTGTGATTTTGAAACGGGGTAGTGGACAGAAGGATTTTGAGAATAGTGTCAGTGAACAGCTAAATAATATTAGAGACACCTGAAGTCAAGCCTCACCAACATTGGGTTGTAACCTTAAATTTTAAAAGAAAATTTTCCACTGAACTCCAGATGCTGCTCCTTTCTCCATGGCCCCCGTATTTGATTGGAAAAAAAGCTTCCTTTTTTATTTTATTTTAAAAATCCTGGTAATTTCCAGGATTTCCAAAAGAATGAATCCTTAGCACCAGGAATGGTATGAAGCCATTTTTGTTCATTCATGTATTCAACAAATAATTACTGAACATCTAACATGTCAGAGACTCTCTTAGGCACTGGAGATAGAGATGTGACCGAGACCGATAAGGCCCCGCTCTCATGAAACATACATTCCAGGGCAGAGAGGGAGAATAAATAAGTAAACAAAGTAACAAACATGATAATTTCCAGGGATGATGTGTTTTGAAGAATTAAAGTCTATAATAAGAATAACCCTGATAAATAGTAGTCCTCTTTGATTTCTGAGGACCCATTCATTTCACACTGTTACAATGTCTAGATTCTAAGCCTTCTGCCTATATCTCACTTTTTATCTTACAGGACCATAATTGCCCAAACTTGGAAACAACTAAAATGTCCTTGGCCATAAGAACTTTAACCATGCAAACTGGGAATGAAACTCTTGACTTAGCTGATTCTTACAGAAGTGGTACACACCCAAAGCAGATAAAAAAACTTGGCCCTAAGTCATGAAGGGGATGAATGGGGAGGTACCAGGGACAAGGCACCTAAATGGTTTTACATGTAGCCTATTATGTTAAACCCCAAGGTTATTTCAAAAATTAAAAATATATCGATTTTTTTAAAAAAAATTGTTTTTTACAGCAACTTATGTTCATAGTAGGAGTGGAAGGTGTAGAGATTTCCCTTGTACCATCTGCCCCACACATGCATAGCTTCCCCCATTATCAACAGCCCTCAGCGGACTGGTACATTTCTTATACTGGATGAACCTACACAGACCATCATAATCACTCTAAATCCATAGTTGTACATTCTATGGGTTTGCACAAATGTATAATGACATGTATGCACCATTATAGTACCATGCAGAGTAGTTTTACTGCCCTAAAATTCCTCTGGGCTCTGCCTATTCATCCTCCCACCCACCTTTTCCTCACAACCCCTGACAACCATCAATCCTTTTACTGTCTCCATAGTTTTGCCTTTTCCAGAATGTCATATAGTTGGAATCAAACAGTATATCGTCTTTTTAAACTGGCTTCTTCACTAGGTCATAGGCATTTAAGATTCCTCAATGCCTTTTCGTGGTTTGATAGCTCATTTCCTTTTAGCACTGAATAATATTCCATTGACTGGATGCACCATGGTTTATATTTCCATTCACCCACTAAAGGACAGCTTGGTTGCTTCCAAGCTTTGGCAACTGTGAATAAAACTTGTCTCCACCATTATCATATCATACAGTGTGCAGGTTTTCATATGGACATACATTTTCAACTTTTCGGGGTAAATATCAAGGAGCATGATTGCTGGATTGTACGGTAAGAGTATCTTTAGTTTTTAAGAAACTGTCAAACCATGTTCCAAAGTGTCTCCCCCATGTTGCATTCCCATAAGCAGTGAGTGGTTTCTCCGCACCTTCTCTGGCACGTGGTGGTGTCAGTGTTCTGGATTTTGGCCATTCTATTAGAGTGTCATGGTATCTCAATGTTTTAATCACCTTAACTTAGAAAAAAATTAATGTAACTTATTTTTTAGTATACCTTAACTTTTAATTCACCCCCTACACATTTAAATGCCTTTAATGTGTATGGTAAGTACTCATGTTTCGCTTGATAGGAGATAAAAGGAGTCCATGGGGCAAAATCAACTTAAAAATTTAGCTGGAAAATTAAAATTTTCTTCTCTCTGTGCCTCAGGTGCCCTCCTCTGCAAACAGGATAAATGATCAAAGAACCTGTCTCAGAGGCCTACTGGGAAGACTAAATTTTAGACTTTTAAAGACTTGACAGAACAAAGAGAGGGCTCATTGCACACGGGCCCTGCACAGCGGTTTGATTCATGCTGGTGACGGCTGCTTCCTGGGATTAGAACACAGGGGCCGAGAGCTGCTTTCTTCTGCTTGGAACTCTTTACATGACCAAGAGTCCTGCCTCTTGCCCCGCTAACTATTACAATCTCCAAAGCATATGAGGAGGTTAAAAACAAACAGTATCATGCATAACAGTATGCATAGCAAGTTGGCATGTGTATAAGATGGGAGAAAACATTTATACTAGTACATGGCTGTTTGTCCATTCCTCACATTGGTGAGTACTACTGTGTAATAGGCCTTTTGCTAGGTGTTCAGGATGCAGGAGTAAACAAAACAGAGGAAATGGCTACTTTTACACTATTCGTGTAAATGAAACTGATTTAAGTATTTTAGACACAGCACTTTGGAGTATGATGCCTACTTTTTGAGAACAAAATAAAGGAAACTTCATTAAATTGGGCAAACGGGGAGAAGATCTTTTAGAATTAATGAAATAAAAGATAGTGCTGCTACTTTTATGATTGTACAGGACTCAACTAAGTGGGAAAAATAACTCAAGCTCTCTCACCAACAATATCAACAAGTAACAACTGGGTGGGAGAGGGGAATTTAGTGGAATTTTCTCAGAACTGAAGGAGTTGAACAGCCAATCCTGAGGACCCTGTGGGCCAGCTGGCATTAATAATGAGACTCAACTCCCAACACCCAGTCTTTGTGTCTCTCCATTTACATTTTTTAGGGAAAAATCATTACACTATGAGTCAAAGCAAGACTGGCCTGATTGCTCAGGAGCTGGCTCCCCCAGTTCCTCAAGAGAGAGTAAGGTGACCCCCACTTTCTTCCAGTCATGAAGAAGGGATAAGGTGGGATCTGTTGGCCTCCTTTTAACAATCCTAATCCTTCTACTCCTTGCCCTTTTTAAACAAGAGCTGTGCAGAATGGCCCTGTCCATTTCTTCCTGGCTCCACACAGAGCCCGAGGTGGTTAAGTGCAGTGCTGGGTAGGGGCTCAAGTGCCTGCTAACCTCCTAGGTCCCTTTCCCCACTCCTGGTGCTCACCTGGCTCCACTGGTGCAAATGGTTAGAATTACTCCCTTCCAAGGGCTAATATGATATACTAGAGGCCCGGTGCATGAAATTCGTGCATGGGTAGAGTCCCTAGGTCTGGCTGGTGATCAGGGCTGATCGGGGCCTTCCTTCATTTTGTGCTGTCCCCTGGTGGTCAGTGCATGTCATAGCGAGCAGTCGAACTCCTGGTCTGTCGAACTCCTGGTCTGTCGAACTCCTGGTCTGTCGAACTCCTGGTCTGTCGAACTCCTGGTCTGTCGAACTCCTGGTCTGTCGAACTCCTGGTCTGTCGAACTCCTGGTCTGTCGAACTCCTGGTCTGTCGAACTCCTGGTCTGTCGAACTCCTGAGGGGACAATTTGCATATTAGCCTTTTATTATATAGGATAGTCAACTACACCAAAAAATTATGCAGGCCTTGGGGAGTGTGGAATGGTAAACTAACCTTTCCTGAATTTTGGGAAGAATGATTTTATTTTAGAGAAGTTGAACGGTTTGGATACTGGAGCCATATAGCAGTGGGTTCAAATTTGAGTTCTACCAATGACTAGCTGTGTAGCCCTAGGGTTTTGTGACCCCGGTATGTTTTCATTTCTTCAGGTGTAAGTTCAGTATGGTAAGTTCAATTGCCTCATAGGATTGTATAGCAGACTCATCCTTGATCTCAGACTTCTGGCTTCCAGAACTGTGAGAAAATATTGTATGTTGTGCAATCCACCCAGCCTGCGGTTTTTGTTCCACCAGCCCTAGGAAACTCATCGTGAGTGAAGCACTTAGAGCAGAACTGGAATTACTATTATTAGAAAGGGCACTACATGAGTGACTATAGGGAACTAGTGGGGGAATCGAGGAAGTGGTCAGTGGATGCCAAACATTATTTTTAGGACAAAAGACTCGGAGGCTCCGCATGACAAATATCCTGGTTCCAGATTCTTCCCTACAATGATCCGTCCATAAATAAAGGGGAGACTCGCCTCTGGGTAGGGTGGTGGCTTATTTTACTTTCATGCAGTTACGAGGAGACTGGGTTAAAGTTTGTCAGCAGCTCTGCTCACTGTTCGGTGAGAAACCCTCAACCTCAGACTGTGGGGCTGCAAGGAAGACAGAACGGCAGCAGCCCCCGGGTGTGGGGTGCACAGGAGTTGGCCCTGTGACTGTGTGCCAGGCAACACTGACAAATCTCAAAGGCGGCTGGGAGAGCAGGGAGGGAAACACCACTCCCCAAAGGGCCACGGAGGTGCGCCTCCATCTTTGCTGGAAGCAGGGACCTGGGCACTCTCCCACGCCTTGCTGTGTGGGTATGGCCGGGACTGTCCTCCACTGTGATGCTGAGTTCGAAACCTCTGTCTTTACCAGATCATTTAAAAAGATGTATATTTGTATTAATTTCAGAGAGAAAGGGAGAGAGAGAGGGAGATAGTAACTAACATCAATGATCAGAGAGAATCATTGATTGGCTGCCTCCTGCACACCCCACACTGGGGATCAAGCCCCAACCTAGGCATGCGCCCTGACTGGGAATTGAACCATGACCTCCTAGTTCATAGGTCAACACTCAACCACTGAGCCATGCAAGGCTGGGCTTTTCCAGATTATTTACAAGTGACTCAAAATCCTGGAAGCGATTTACTCTTCTTGGCCATTGTTCAGAAGGAGCCACTTGCCTGCGTGCTTGCCTTGTCCTCAGCACGCTGTGATTCCAGCCTGCATCCCCCACCAGCGCCTGTAACAAAGAGGGGGAATGCAGAAATTGTCCACAGTGTTTTCAACACTGCGGGCGCAGGGGGAGGATCTCCATTTGTTCTCAGCAGGCTGGCTGATAGCTTAAGAAGCCCTCCTGGCCATGGACTGCAAGCCCCTCTGGGAAGGGGCAGGACAGCCTTTCCCACCAAACTCCCGTCGGCATTGGCCGACCATGTCCACTTTAGCTCATTGTTTAAGAATCATAGCAATGCAATTATTATGGGTCCTTCTGGAGTTTATCTGAGGAGGGAAGGTAAAGTTAAAAACAGGTTATTTTGAAACAGGAAGCTCTTTTTGATCAAATTGTATCAGCCCATACTAGTTCTACAGAACAATTCTCCGGAGGACTCGGGGTGAGTGCGGGAGGGTGCCTGTGCAGAGCATCCTGCAGACTTTGCAAGGTCCGGATGGACCCCTTGTTCAGCTCTGCGCCGTCCAGCGTGGCCAGTCAGTGACATGATTACATAGTGAAATGATATGTTTGATACATGGGTTAAATATGAAAGTACTATTAGCATAAATTTCACCTGCTGCTTTTCACCTTTTGAGAAATTTCTGCAGCCATTTTAACATTATACATTTGGGGCTCACATTACCTATTCCATTGCACAGTGCTTGTTCAAGTCATCTCTACGGTGGGTCTTACAACGGTTACTTGGGTGTTCTGGTAAGTTGTTTGCCTATTGAAAGTTTAGTCCTGCCTTTCAGCAAGTGATAACCAACGCCTCATTCAGATGCATTGTCTCTCCTCATTGCTTTTTATGTTTGGTTCAGATGATTTAGCAATTTGCTACCAAATATTGAAATATATATTTGAGTCTAATTCTTTATATATTTATTTTTGTTTTGCTTTGTTAATCTTCACCTGGAAGATATTTCTCCATTGTTTTTTTTTAGAGAAAGTGGAAGAGAGGGAGGGAGGGAGGAAAAGAGAGAGAGTGGGGGGAAACATCAATGTGAAAGAGACACATCGATTGGTTGCCTCCTGCACGCACCCCAGGGCTGAGGATTGAACTTGCAACCCAGGTACATGCCCTTGACTGGAAATTGAACCTGAGACCCTTCAGTGCCTGGGGATGATGCTCTATCCACTGAGTCACACTGTCAGGGCTATTTCTACATTTTTAAACCAGAGTGTTGGGAGTGATCTAATCCTAGAGCCTCCTTCTGGTTTTAGGATTTTATGATTCTGTTTTAAAATTTGGGCTTTTAAAAAGGAGGAGAAAAATCTAGATTAATCTTACAGCATCTTGACATTTGAAGCGTGATGGAGTTTTCCAAAGATAAATTTTTTTTTTTCAATTCTATTCCTGCAGAGACGGAAGCCCGGAGTCAGCCTGTGGAGAGGCCAAGGCCAAGCAGGCAGAGAGGAGCAATGCTGCCTCCTACTGGGCTGGAGGGGAGCCACAGGCCCGCAGTGGGTGTCTGCACAAGCAGGTGGTGCTGGTCCTAGCTGAGTGAGGCCAGCAGCCCAGGCAGCTGGCACTGTGTGTGTGTGTGTGTGTGTGTGTGTCCCGACAATTTCTCTGGCGGTCTTGTCCAGTCTGCCCCACACCCCTTACCAGGGGTCTACTGTTTGATGCAAACAGGAAATGACAACTCCCATGCTCGCTCTAAGGGTGTCTGTGGTCTGCGATGGTGAAGCTGCGAGGATGTGAACGCAGGAGCTGCCCCCTGAGGACTCCAGCCTCACGGAGACCACAGGCTGCGAGAAGGTGCCTGGTAAGCCAGGAGAGGTAGACTCTAGAGGTCAGCCCAAACGAGGCTTCTGTCCCTTTCCACCAGGGGCTTGAGCAGTGCAGTCCCTAAAGCAGGTCTTTATAAGAAGGTGAGCTGAGAGCAAAGGACCTAAATAGACACTTTTCAAAAGAGGACATTCAGAAAGCCAAGAGACATATGAAAACATGCTCAAAGTCACTAATCATCCGAGAGATGCAAATCAAAACAACAATGAGGTATCATCTCACACCTGTCAGAATGGTTATCATCAACAAACGACAAGTGCTGGAGAGGATGTGGAGAAAAGGGAACACTCGTGCACTGCTGGTGGGAATGCAGACTGGTGCAGCCACTATGGAAGACAGTATGGAGTTTCCTCAAAAAGTTAAAAATGGAACTCCCATTTGACCCAGTGATCCCACTTCTAGGAATATATCCCAAGAAACCAGAAACACCAATCAGAAAGGATATATGCATCCCTATGATCACATATTTACCATAGCGAAGATCTGGAAACAGCCTAAGTGACCATCAGTAGATGAATGGATTAGAAAACTGTGGTACATCTACACAATGGAATATTACGCTGCTGTAAAAAAGAAGGAACTCTTACCATTTGCAACAGCATGGATGGAACTGGAGAGCATTATGCTAAGTGAAATAAGCCAGTCAATGAAAGAAAAATACCACATGATCTCACTCATTTATGGATAATAAAGACCATTATAAACTGATGAACAAAAATAGATACAGAGGCAGAGCTGCCTCGAACATTGTCAAACTACAGCTGGAAGGCTGGGAAGGGTTGGGGGCAGGAGAGGGGGTAAGAGATCAACCGAAGGACTTGTATGCATGCATATAAGCATAACCA